TCTGGGCTGCTGAAGAAAGACCTTACTGAAAATCAGTAAATCATCTTGGCTGTCTGTAAATCTGCTTTTAACATTTATTTAGAAGTACATTGCAGATAGATGGACCTTACAATGAAGCATTTTATGAGAAGCTGCTAGATCTTTCCACGGAAGATGACGGGACAGTAGCGTTTGCATTAACAAAGGTACTTCTGCACGTGTTGTTGAAGCTTATTTACTTTGTGAGTTTCAGTAAACATTTGGCTACAGGAGCAGATGGACAGCCTGCTGGCTCCACCACTGGCCTGGTGAAAGCTCTTAATTGTGCCAGCATGTACCTTGGTAGCAGAAGCAGTTAACAATGAACATGTTTAGCACCAGATCTGAAGGAAAAAAATAATGCTGGTTATTCGCTTTCTTGACTGAGGAAGTATTTGCATGAACTGGTGCTGCTTTGGCCTTCAGGAAAACTATCTGTAGGAAATAACCATCCATCTTGTAGCAGATGCTGTAAAACCACCTGCTCCTGCTAACCATCTGTTACTGACACCTTTTATAAAGAAAGGCATGCTTTGCTAAGGCAAATGCAAATAGAATAGAAAGTGAGTGTTATTTTTGTCTTTCACAGGTGCAGCAGTACAGAATAGCCATGACTGCTAAAGACTGCTCCATCATGATTGCCCTTTCACCCTGTCTACAAGATGAATGGTAAGAGACCTGCTTGTGAGTGACTCCTGCTCAGAGAGCAACTGAAGCTGCATTTGCACAGTTGTAACTTGGGGGTGGTGGTGTCCAAATGTTTGGCTGTGAGCATATTAATAAGGTGAAGTTCTGATTTAAGACAAATGTTTGTTTACAAAAAGTTTTAAGTTGATAAAAAGGGTTGAAGTTTTCTATCTATTCCCTTCTTGGAATTTGACTATTTATGGTAGATGTGCACAGTCTTAACCAGGTACAATTTTTTGCATGAGAGATTTTTCAAGGTGAGTTGCCTTTAACTGCGTAATTAGATTAAAAGTAAGGCAATAATCAAGAGGTAGCATATTTTGCTGTAAGACAGGTGGCTTTGCCACAATATTATCAATCTTCTGTCAGCAATAATAGTCTGCTCTTACATAGGGGAATTTGCTTTACCAAAGCCTTTGGTTTTTTTAGAGAATATTATTTTCTGCCTTTGCCCTGCAGCTCCTGAATTAAGTGTTCGTGATGTAGATGACTTGTTATTACTAAGTCCTCCGTCCTTCAGTATCTGTGGACACTTAGGTCTGATGCTACATTTGTATTACCTTGAGTTGCAGTGATTCTTCCTTCTGCTAGTTCTGAAGGCCTTGTGTGCATATCGCCTAGGAACAGACTGGACTTGGGCAGTACAAAGCCATGGTAACTGACAATAATGTTTTGAGTTCAGATGTGTGGAAGCTGAAAGGAAAACAACTGGAAGAGATGCCAGCAAATTCACTTTAAGGCTGGCTAAGCTAGAGCTATAGATTCCTAAATGCTGCATTAGCTGAAGTTTAATTTCTTGGGCTTCCAGAAATTATTTTATTAATTAAATTAATATTAGAGTCACTTTAGTGAGGGGACTCAGGACACACAAATGACAGATGTTCATTCGGTGACTCAGATGTACAACATGGTTCTGTGTTCCAGCTCTGAGCAGCGACCTGTGGTACTAACGTCCAAATCAAGATTCACCTTCTCTGTTTCTGTCCTGGACCTTGACCTAAAACCTTACGAAAGCATTCCTCATCAGCACAAACTGGATGGCAAGATAGTAAACTATTATTTGAAGAATGTACAGGCCAAAGATGACCCCGTTATGTCCAGTCTCTTTAAGGAGAATGAAGACTGCACATTAGTTCTCCATAAAGTGTAACCATTTCCTTGAAGTTATTTTTATTTGAACACATTAGAAAGTGAAAGATTAATGGAATACAATTATGGTGTTTTTTTTTTTTTCTATTGTGTTCAGTGCATTTTTCAGCTGTGAATGTTTTTGCTTTAAGAAATGATTCCTAATTGGTATTGCCTTTTCAAAGACATGGGATAGCACTAAGCCACACATTTGCTATATAACCTTAATGAATGTATTTAATATGACAGAACAGATAATGTGCCATACCTTGGAACTATAGAGGACAGGTCAAATTAATACTAAAGTCTATTTCCTTAGAATTGAAAGAGCACAGAAGTAAAGGTTTCCTGAAGTATTGCACTAACATAGAAAGCCTAATTACTAATGAGAGAATTGCCTTGGAGCTTGTGCTTTGAGTCTTATACCCACTGGGAAGAGGGAATGCTCTGACAAAACCTAATATAAAACTTCAGCATTAAGTCCACTGAAAATACAACTGAAGGGGCTACTCAAGTGTTACTGATGTATGGAACTACTGTGTTTACTGCAGGACACTTTGGAGTACTAATGCATGAGATTAAGGGCACCAGACTGCCTCCAGAAGTTTGGTGATCACCTTGTGTCTACTTAAAACTTCTGAAACTAAGTGGAAAGGGTTTAAAGTAAGCATCTGAGTTTGATGTGATAGCTGGGCTCAACTCATCTGACATACTGGTCTTTTATTTTTTATACATTGTGCTGCTATTGAAGGTGAAACCACAGCTTGCTCTTACCTAGTTTAAATGGAGCTATATGAATAATATAGTTTGAGTTCTACAGGTTTGTTCAGGTCTTTCAGATAGTGTCAAATATTGTAATAACTTCACTGGTAGCCCACGTACCGTATGGCTTGAGCAGTTGCTTTCAGGCTTGTTCTTTTTCAGAAACACACAACAACAGTGACAGTACCTGATTTTATTTTCAGAAGCTGCATGGGGGCAGTTTCTGAGGGTGAGTGCTGGACACCTCAGTTCCTATCACTACTTCAGCCATTGAATGATGGCTTCACTTCCTAAACATTGGAATGTGCAGCTGAAGTCTTGTGGGATGTTGCATAAAAGCCATCCTCAAGGAAGGTCCTGAGCTGCAGACAGAGGATATATTCAGAAGTGAGGGTAGTATGATGAAAGCTACAGCCACTTTCCCTGTATGCCTGGGGATTACACACCCTGAAACGTGCAGAGATGCTGCTCAAGCTACAGTTCACTGCTGTTACCTAGGTACAGTGTGGGCTTACTGGTCATGGTGTTAAAAATAATGTAGGTCAAGACTTAAATATATTTAGATTTCAGTGTAATGTTTGAATTGTTCCATTTTATCTGACAGTCAAAAAGCAAACTCAGAAAACCCTGTATATTGGCACAACTCATAGAAGACATGAACTAGAGAGTAACACCACTCACAGACCCATGGGGCATTGCCATGGTAGTGACCTGTGTTAGCCATCTCCTGGATCCCATTGCCTGCTGACCCTGTGCCTTGCTGGGATGGGGTACTGGGCTGCTCTCACTGAAATGGGATACTACAACAGTGCAATAAGCTGGTAGTTGGTAATGGTATTAACCCTTCCTTTTCAAAGAAAACCTGGAGGGAGAGAGAGCTATTTTTAAATTAAAAAAAAATCCTTCAACTGTTGCATAAGGGGAGGAAGGAATGAGTATTCACAGCTGGAAAGTTTTCAGGGTTTTATGCTGTATCTTTACACACGTTTCATCTGCAAATAGAAGTGTATGTGCTGATCAAACAGCTCAATTTTCATGCAAGAAAGAGCAAAAGATGAAAGCTCACGCAAAACAAGCTAAAGCAGTAACGTGTCAGTGGATAAAGTAGCAATGAATTTTGCCTGTCTACTGGATTCCATACTTGAAATTAGTCTGCCTTATATCTAACAAGATATTTTATTACAGAGTTGCTGTTCATCAAAGCTTAATCTCTGGTGCTGCTCAGCTGTAGATTCTGACAGAAACCAATCTCATCTGTCAGTTTTTCCTGACCTTCCAGAACAGTAGGATGCTATTACAGTGATTAAATAGTGGATTATTAAAATTACAATATTACAAACATACTGTAGCGTTAGGCCTTGATTTCTTCACCTATTTCACCACTGCTGTAAAATACTTTGACATAACTTATGAACAGAGCAGGCGGTTTTACTGCTTGCATGGTTAGAGCTGCTGTGGACTTGGAAGTTAATACTCTCCAGAATTCACAGTTCTTTTTGGACCCTTGTTACTCCCTACCTAAAAAGGACATGACATTAAGTTGTAGAGGTTTGGTTGTGGTGCTCATGCAGAGCACGGGCACTCCTGCAAAATGCTGAGAGTTCACAAATGATCTAATGCTACATCTGATGGCAGGGAAGGAAGATGACAGGACATCTTTCTAATCTGTTTTGTTTCTTCAGGGATGAAGGAATGAAACAATTTTTGTAACATGTTATTTACTAGACTTTCCCTCTAGAAGTAGGAAATCAAACTGCAGCAAGCAGTAGTTAACTCATCCACCTCTCTTACGAAAAAAGTCTATTGGTCCTTTCTTGTTTAATTCAATGCTCTCTCTACTCAACACTTGCATGGTGGAAAACAATTCCCTCATACAGTTACCCTTTTTTTTTTAACATAATATGTCTTTGAAATCTTCAAATTGTCCACTCCACCCTAATTTAATGAGAAAGCTATTTAACTCTTTGTTCTAGGAGTCTCTTACTGTTCTCTTGTCATTTTAAAATCACTGTACTTTTACAGAGCTGTGAAATGAAATGGATTTTTATGGACTTGATTTTGACAGTGCATGATCTTTTAACACTTTCCAGGTATCTAGAAAATGTTAAGAAGATAAACCACTCTGGTACATTAATGATTCAGAAAGATAAATTTATAATGAAATCACGCTGTACATGTAACTATTTTATTTGGCATTTTTGTATTTAAATGGCTGTATTTATTTTCATGTCATGACAATTTATATATAACGTGCCATAATTGTACAGATAGCATGTTTTATGAGTATGGTTTCTAAATGGAAAATAACTTAATGTTTATATTCAATAAAATTATAGACTGTGTAACACAATATCCTAATTAAAATGACCTTTGAAAATGCTACCTGGTGTAAGCCATGCTGGTGTTCATTTGTGGAGGCCAACCACTTTGATCAGATTCTCAATAGCTGTCTCAATCCCAAACAACAGCAGCAGGCTTCGGAAGCGGGTGGGAGCATTGTCAGTGGTTGCCATCTTCTGGTCCAAGACTGCAAGAAAACCAGAACAATGACCATTATTTTCACACAGTTGTACTATTCCTGAAAGCAGCTGCCAGTGTTGCATTTCTGATGAAACTGTTGCCTGCTCTCTAGAAGGGGAAGACATAGTTGTTTGGTAACTCCATTTAAATTATACAGGAGGTGCTTGCTATTGTTATACTATATTAAATTATACATTTAGCTGCTTGCTAAATTTGGATTGCTTTGCCTGGTTGGGCTCTGCAAGTTGATTTCCATTTTATCTAGAGATGCTGGGCACAAAAGGGGACAGGCATCCTACTTCAAAGCTCAGGAAGGGTGTCTGAAGTGAATGGCCTTACCTTGCTCTGGTACTTTAGTTAGAAGGTCTAGAACAGGCGTAGTTCTCCCTTCTTGATCCATATGTATCTTCCAAACAATCACTAATTCAAACCTGTATACATGTGCAGAGACATGTTAGTGAAGTGTTAACTAGGCAACTGTCTTCAGGGTTTCTTGAAAGCTGAAAGTACAGTATTTGGGAGGTGCACACTCATGATACTCTGGAACAAGTGTCACCTCAACTAACACAGCTTAGCCACCTCTATATTTGGGAATCAGAAATACTTGTATTTGAACCAAGGAAAAACTGGTCATTTATTGGCAAGGAAAGGGTTCAGGCACATCCAAATTTGGAACCCCAAGGATTTTCCTCTGGTTCTTTTCATTGTCTCATGAATGGCCAGTTTCCATAGTGCAATGGTAAAAAAAACAAGCCAGGAAAGAAAAGGAGAGCTAGCATCCCCTGCCCCACTCCTTAACAGAATATCTGCACCTGGGGACACGTACTGAGCTTAGATACAGGATGAAAGCAAGAATGTTGTTCAGAAGTGTGTGCATAAATAGTGATCTGGGTCCTGATACTGCTCATGGCCATTTCAGAATAACACACAGGGATAAATATACCCAAAACCTAGATACCTGCATTTGTTTACTTTTAATTAAAACCCCCCCCCCCCCCAAAATAAAAAATCTTAACCATAATTACTCCAAGAGTTTTGCTTTCTAACATCCCATCTGCCTTACTGCTTTTTGTATTCCCCTCCAGTCCCTGCTTTTAGCAGTATTCCTTATTGGAAGGAAGGGTTTCCAAACCCAAAGCTGGTCTGCACATAAGTCACTGTGAGGAATAAGCTCCCTTTTCTCAGTGGTTGACCAATCATGACTACAAGTTTCCTTTAAATAGAATTTGTCAGCCATTTGCCACTTCATTGTTAAAATCCTTTAAGAATTTAAGCACAGCTTGTTCAGAGATCTTGCAAACAAATTAATATGCAAGTGTATTTTTCTACCAACCCACTGAAATAATTTTCAATTCTTGCATTTCATAATTACAGATGTGTAATGGAACTTGGCATCTGTCAACATGAAGAGAAACTAAAATAAACCAGCTTATTTTCTAACTGTGATGGTCTAACAACAATTCATTTCAGCAACCTGGGGTTAAAGCATTTAGTTTCAACTAGTAGATTTGGCAAAACCACGACAGCACTATCTATTATGTTTTTTTTGCACAAATATGAATGGAGCTGTGATTTCCAGTTGTTTCTATATAAATTAATGCTTGTTACAGCAAAGATGTAATAGAAGAATTGGTCTGATCCCTTCACAAAATAGTTACTTTTCTAGGCCCTTAAAGAATTCCTGACAGGAACAGTTACAGTGTCTTAAACATGCAACTTCAGTGACTATTTTTTCTCAATTTAAAAACCCAAACATGCCAGTACATGTCTAGCAGGGAGCCCAAGCAAACCCAGCATGTGTGGTAGGGCAATAATAACAACTAGCAGTGCAATTATCCCATCCTTCCTCTGATTTCCTTCTAAGACAATGGAAAAATACAGCTACAGTTGCTTTCACTGACATGGTAACTAACTTTATTTCCATTCTTGAATGACAAGATGAAAGAATTGTCTGTCTTTGCCTCAGTGACTTGTGCTCTTGGCACCTCTGACCACAGCAGGAAGGATAAGCTGTTACTGACAGGCTGCCACGCTGGCCCTGCCCACAGGAAGGGACAAGCTCCTTCCCCAGGGCTAGAAAATCCTGCCTTATCTCCCAGGGGAGCTGCTGGGGACCTACCCTGTTGCACTAAGAGGGACTTGGGCCTCAGCATCTGTTCTGCCCATGTAATGCAGAAAGAAAACCAAGATGGAACCAATCCAGCTGAACGTGACATTTTCTGATGCATGAGAGGGAGGGGACAGCCCCCATTCCTGAACTTTTAATTTAGACTCTGCATTGCAGCATGAGCTTTTTTCACATAGCTTTTTAAAAGAGCGGGTACACATGGCAGCAATACAATTGATTGACTTACCTAGCAAGGCCACATGCACACAACCTGTGCATACATTTTTGGGTTGTTTTTTTTCTTTTTCTCCTGTTTTGAACGTGTGGTTATAGCCCTAAAACGTAACCCACATCATCTAATCTCTTGTGATTAGAGGCATTATAAAGCAAAGAGTGATTTAATGCTCAAGAACACTGATCATCTATAAGTTGTCAACATGCATTTCATAATCCTTTTATCTGCACAAATCAAGAAATGTAATTATTGTCTTACCCAGAAAGTTTGGGGTTTCTTAGAATCATATAGTCTCCCAACAGTCCTTCTGGAAGGATCACAACATCAGGATATTTGGTCTGTGAATAAACAGGTTCAAAAGAGTATAAATTAGGGCAGAAGAATCACAGCAGACAAGGTGGTTTCTAGCTAGGGCTTTCCAGATGCAGTGGATTTTAATATGTTGCCACTTGTAGCTTGCATTTTTAATAGTCAAGAGTAACACTACTAATTGTTTAAAATTCTGACACATGCTTTGTAAGTTTTGATGGTTTGGTCTTTTTTTAGTAACATGCATGTGATACCAAGAGATACTTAAATTTGGCCACCTCAGAGAAAAAAACCAGTATTGTACACCTCTACAAACAGGCCTTGAAGCCTTATGCAAGATGTAGGAAACCTTGGAATAATATTTTTTAACTAAAGTCTATTAATTTTGTTGAATAACATTATAATACATCAGTTTAACAAAAAAACCCAACCCCCTTACTAGCATACTCCATTTAGCTACTTTTGAGAAATGGCATCACCAAGTTCCATACAGTGCTTTGAAAGTATAAAGTAATAAAGGCAATGAGATACCTAAGTAACCACTGTTACCAAGATATAATGGGACAACGGAAATTGATAAAACATATAAAACTACTGACTACTATTAAACTCCATTTTACTGGGTATTAGAACTGTTTTTGGTCACTAGAGTGTGCAAGGATTGATCATTGTTCCATTACTTTGTTAGTTCTTCTATTACTGTAGAGTCTTCAACATGTATGTCTTGAATTACACATAATTTCTGCTTTAACTATTTTAAAAGCATGGAAAACAAAAAGCAGAGTAGTGTTGAGGCATGGATTCTGTAGAAATGCTGCAGTATGTCAGGTGAGAGGTCCCTCAGAATATGAGGAGATGTACACACATCAAAATACAAAGGAAGAACACAGTTCCTGCATCCTGCGGAGACATGCTGTTGCAGAAGAGAACAGAACCTAGGCAATGCCTGTTACTGTGAGGACTTCAACACTGTTACTTGCACTGGGTTATGTACTGCATACAAAGCTGTGTTCCAAAACCTGCAGTTTATAAAGTGTGAAAAATCCATCAGCCACAATCATTGTACAGCGCTCATGGTCTCATGGAAAGGGAGCAGGAGAGCTTGTCTTTGAAAAGCACTGGAGAAAATGAGTCGGGTTTTATAGGATTACGCCTCATCTGGCAGACTGAAATTGCTACCAGATGTGACCTTGCTCTGGTTTAGGAATTTATGACACACTGAAGACGGTTTGTGCAGAATGCCAAATGACATAAAACACATGGAATTTGCCGGGTTTTGTTTCTACAAAGTAACTAGGGCTGTATTTACCATGTGGATAAAGGCCATGAATTATCCTGGGAACAAAGACACATAAGGGGCAACAACGTGCATGGCAGTTACAGCATGAAACCGTGGCTGATCTAAGGACTCCTCCATATGGCAAAATAAAAGAAAATTTTCACGCTTTCCTTCTCAATAACCCATGTCTTTGATATTCTCTAACTGCCCTCATTTGCCTGGTATCAGATCTCCTTAGCTCTAGGTTGCAAAATACTAGAAATTTAGGATTAGTTCATATCTACAGGTTTAACCTTCATTCACCCAGACTGAGATCTTTGAGAATCACAGGAGAAAAGAGATCAGATGCACTACATAGGAGCTCCAGTGTTCAAGCCACTGTAAAACGCACCCATGCCTTGTTTGGGAGTTGCTGTGTAGCTGCCATAATCTACCATCTAGCCATCTACCCCAGCTGCTCGGTGGTATTTTATGTTGTACAGAAACCAGAAGTATCTCAAAAGCTTCCTTGTTCTTGGGAGAGAGGACGTTGGTGAGCCCTGAGCACAAGAAGAGGTTATTCTGTGCCTAAAGGAAATGCCAGGGTTTTGGCAATCTATCTGCATGCTGTGATAATCTGATCTTGTGTGAAATTCACAGGATTTGGGATAAAATCCAGCTTCTCGAAAGGGAAGATCCTATTTTAGCAATCCAGAAAACATACTGAAAGCCAAAACACAAATACCTACATCTGTCTCCAGGTGTATTACATGCTAAAACTGGTGCCATAGCAGTGGCACAGAGTAGGACCTCGACCAGCCCCTGGTACGGGGGTGTCTGCCTGTCTCACCCAAGGGAGACTCCTTTGGGTGATCATGCAGTGGAAGCAGGAAGCAAAACTACTGCACCCAGAATTACACAAGCAATGTTAAAACATTCAGGGAATAAAACCCAGGAAATGCAGACACACAGTCTGCCCTTCATATTCCACATATACAATGTCATATCCATAACCCACAGGTAAAACACGGGGATCTGGCACCTAAATGAAAATACAGGCAGCTGCCCTGCACAAGCAGCGTCAGTCTTGCCAGAACTGAAGTGCCCAATACACTTTATGGGGACCAGATTATCACCTCATCTTCTCTGCTCTGCAAGAGTCAATTTTCTAAGGGAGGGGAAAAGCAAAGCTGAGCAATGACCAGGGCAACTGAATGACCTGATTCACTGAAGGGTCCCTAGGGAAAGCCAGTAACTCTTATGGGACCTCGTAAAGTGGTCACCAGGCAACTGAAAGCTCTCACACCAAGTAGCACAGCATCAGATGGGAAAGATCAGCTGTGACTGCATTAGGCAAAACCTGGCTTTAATAAAGAAATATCTTTCCTCAGATGACTTTTAAATGTCAGTCCATGATCAAAACCAAAAGCCCATGCTATTATTACTTCTGAGAGGAAATCGTTTTTCCAGCTCCTTCAGGAGTCCAAGCAGGGAATCTTATGGGAACTTTTGTCTAAAACAAAAATAGTCTTAAATCACAAAGGGACAACCATCATGATGGAATACACAGTCTTCCCTTTCTCCCATGACAGATTTCACACACACAAGGAGCCATCTGAGTGAATAAACTTGTAGTATCTGTTTTTAAACAAAATACATTAATCTTCAGCTGTTTACAAATGCACTGCAATTTTCTCTTTACTAAAACTGTTCTAAGGAAAATCAGCTTAAGAGCCCTGACTAAGAATGCAAAGCAAAACTGGCAAGGCAGAAGATATATTAAAAGCAGACAAATTTGCTTCTAACCCACTTATGAAAAACACAGGCTACTCTGCTCTTCAATGGAACAATAGGTCACACTTCCTACTAATTTTGAACTCCCACTTTGTAAGGACTGTATACAAAGAGTGCTAAGCAAGTTGTGCTGCTAAGTCCCTCCATAGCTGTAAGCTACTTCTACATTTACCAAAGATGCTCCATTTAGGGTCTGATTCAAAGTGATTATATATGTATGTTTTGCTCCACTGAAATCATACACACAGTGATGGCATCAAGGCCTTAAATAATTATATCAACATAACTTCAGGATTCAAATACAAACTATTTGCAAATTTGATTAAAATTCTAGCTACTGTAGAATACCAATAATGAGATTATTAGATTCCAGAAGCATTAAACAAATCCAACCCACTGCCAACAGTCTGCTGCCCACTGCAAACATTCAGCTTCATCACTTAGGCAGCCATCCAGTAGGAAGTCATCCCTGTGCACTGCCCTGCATGCTCCAGATGGGACAGTCATAGTTCAGAGTAGCTGTGCTCTCTGCCAGCCTCTTTCTCTGGGTTTAGCAGCAACAGAGGAACATTAAAAAAACAATCTGCCCAGAGTTACACCATTATTGTCTACTGGATTTGGAGCAATGGTCTTGCTATTCCCTTACTCAGAGCAATGCAGAACTGGGATCTCACTAAAAATCAGTATTTTTTTAATTTTAGTTTCTAGTGCAAGGAAGTTTTATCAGTGTCCCAGTTAAGGCAGTGTCTCATAATAGCATACTTTGGGAATCAGAGTCCCACTCCTTGCTTTATCTGTCTCTATGCATCATATGAGTTTGTGATAGATAATCACAGAATTTGATTTGAAAGACCTTTAAAATAATTGAGACAAACTGTAAACCTAACATTGCCACCACTAAACCATGTCCTTATGTGCCACAAAACTGTGCATTTACAATACAACATATAACACAATATGTAATTGCTGAGGTAGCATTCTTTAAATCATTTGAATAACTAGGTTCAAGAAAAAAAAATCTCTCATTCTAACTTCCCTCTATACTAAAGCATACGGAACACCAAAAACACTTAACATAACAGACTATTTCTCTATGTCTCAAACTGTAGCTGGCCCTGCACAAAACCCACTCGATCAATTCCACCTTCTGCACTCTAGTATAATTTTACAGTTATCCCACAAGATACAAGCCTCCATTTATTGCCTATTCTCATGTAGAGATCTATTAATACTTAAAATGTTAAAGATGCTTTAAAGCCTAATAATGCTGTGTACATTCTATTCACTTTTATACTTGAATTTAAAGAAAATGTACATCAAAGTCCAGTATCTGTTGGATTAACAACACTGATTTTTTGGAGAGGGCTATGTGTGCTTAAATATTTTGTAGTTGGCCATTTGGTCATAATGAGATTCAGCCTTGAGTACACAGAAATCTAACATCAATATAGCTCTACTTGACCAGATTTTTTTTTGTTCAGGGCTAAACTCAAATATCCATGCTAGGAAGCAGGTATTGCTGAAGCCTCAGCACCAAACTAAGCTCTGTGTCCACCACAACACATTCTTACAGCAAGATGCTCAAGTGGGCTGTACTATTAGCTTCTGCTCTGCCACTTCATGTGGCCTTGTGAAGACAAAGACAGTTTGGTCTGTGCCTGAAAGATAACAGTGTTGTAACCTAAGGCAAATTATTTAAATTAGAATAAAGGATGCCAATCTTTTCTGGAAACAGACTGTGTTTAACTAAATCTCAGAGTATTAACTATGAACATTATTAGCAATACAGAGGTCAGCTTCCATCAGATCATGATCATATGCTTAGGAAGATGACAACATACTTTTATTTTTTGATAAGCACAAACATAAATTTGAAGCAACTGGGGTATATAATAAATTACACCTATGAAAATAAGTTGTATCTCCTACTGCAGGAGAAAAACTTTGACAAAACCTGTTCTTAAATAATAAAATATG